AATAGTCAGGCGCAGCCAAGGCGAGGAGTGTATCGATGTAGGAGATGTCGAGACGAGAAGGTTGTTGTTTGCAGACAACCTTATTTTATGGATATCTTCTGAAACCGATTTACAGTGCTTGGTTTTGTTTTCATTCTTGGAAACTGATCTCCAACACTCTTTAAAGAGGTTTGCATCAGAGTGAGACGTGACAGGCACAAGTGTAAGCAAGCTTAAAACTAAAGCCTAATACCTTCTCGTTTCCGTCTCTGCTGCGACCTGCAGATAAACGGAAGAGCAGTGGAACACGTGGAGAAGTTCATATATCTTGGAGTCGTATTTACTGGTGATAGAAATTGAGAAGAAGTGTTCGACCGGAGAACTGGAACGGTCAGCGATGTTCTGTTCAAACCGTTGCGAATAAGGCAGTGCTGAGTCTGAAAATGAATCTTTTTGTTTTCAAGTCGATTTCCATGTTCATCTATAGTAATGAACCATGAGTCACGACTGAAAAACGTATACTTTGTTTACAAGCAGCTGAAATTGACCTTCTGACACGAATTGTTGGGCTCAAGAAAATCCGGAGTTCAGATTATCGAGAGACCCTCGGCATGCAGCCATTGCTTCTCCAGAGTGAGAAGTTACCGTGGCAATATTTTGGCTTTGAAAACAAAGCAGCTTTACTAGTTCAACCAATCGGCTGAAGATCCCGGAGACAACCAAGATTGACTATGCTTAACATTCTGGTTATATTCTACTGAAGCTCATGCCATGGCACAGGATCGGGAACGTTGGAGACAGTCTGACGCTGCTGCCACTTCTACCGGAATGGATAATCGGCCAGAGAATCTTAAGAGTTAGCTTTGGCAAAGGTTCGTATCTGATAGTTCCACTTTTCTGCGCCTTAAACGCTGGCTGCGAGCATGAAATGCCGTTACCCTTCATTTTCTGTTTTGTAAGTCATCATACATAGGTCAGTCTGAAATCTTCACGAGTCGATTAGCCACAGAACTTAATCAGGAATTGCGCAATTACTTGATCTTTTAAGATCTCAAGCCCTGTCGTTGCCATGGACCGAAAAGAAGACACCATCTTTTTATCGTTGCTTAACGGTACCTTAATGGCGGTAGCTTCAAGAGGCAAAAAGGACGAGTAATAACATCCCGTCAGTGCCTACCACTTTTTCGTCTCTATCTTCTAGGGTGGTGTGGGAAATTCAGTTGAATTCTTCTGCCATAGCTTTGGCGCTGAAAGAAAACGTGTTGTACGCGGGGACGACAAATGGAGTCATTACCGTGATTGAGGTGAGTGATGATTGCGATTCTCAATCGTCTCGATCAATAAAAATGTTTCAGATGATTCCCCAAGACATGCCTTTTATCTCAGATAGGTACAGTGTTCAGGTGGTGCATGCGCCGATACAATTCATCGTGCTGCCAACCAACAGGACAATCTGGTGCGCTGCTGGTCAGTGCATAACAGTTCTGCACTCCAGGTATGTCTAGGTGTTTACTTGTAGGCTTAGCACTGTTGATTTCAGTACGCTGGACACGATACGTATCATCATGCTGACCCGAAGCGTCGATGAAACGATCGATTTAGCTTTCATGCCCCGGACCACTCTTATGACCGCGTCCATACATGGTGTTTGGATAGCGGACAAAACCTCAAGCGTTTTGGACCTAATCGACGCCGAGACTTACTCACTAAAGCTGCGCTTTGACATTGCTTTCATAATGAAAGGGGTTCAGGTTAGTTACAAATCGGCTGCGCTTCTTGAATCGAACGGAATTCAGGAGTCACAGAAATTATGTCGTTCATAAATTATTCTCCAATTTTCTATCATGGTTTCTTCTATCACAGTAATCCTTGTTAGCTAGGCAAAAAATCATCCTATGTATTAGGAGAGCAACTGATTCTGAGGGTTACAGTTGACTATCGGTTGTGAGTAAGGGAACTTAGCCCATCACATTTTATTCTTTCTGTTTTTCACGATAGTATGTTTCATTGTTGTTTGCTATATCACAAATGCGTTGGGGATACGGTCGCGGAGCGAGTTTCCGGATATCATTCTTTTCACGGCTGTTTCAGCAGCAGTCAGATGCTGTTCTTTCGTAAGCGATAATGTTTTGCAGCCATGTTGCATCGTTGGTAATGCGATTGTGCTGAAAAAAAATGGCCCTCGTTAATCTGGCGATCTTTCAAAGTATGAAAAATGCCTAAATACACCAGTTATAATTTGGTCGTAATGAGAGTCTGTTTTTCTAAAATGCTGATTCCTCCTTCAGATATTATTATAACCGATGACGTTCAGTGACAGAAATTGCGAAGGTCTCTAATTTTAGGATCTCTCGCGTTTTAGATTCAGAAAAAGAGTCAGCCAGAATTTTATGTTTTCGACTAACCGTAGTATGTGAAACTATTTAGTTGCTGTCTACAGTTATCTACTGAGTGCCAAACTGCTTGCTGGTCAGAGACTGCAACATGCTTTTGAGTACATGGGTACACACAATCTGTAGAAAGGCTACATTTTTACCGACCAAGAAAAGGTGTGTACTCTCTGGAGGGGACTGAGCATAGGACACGGTCTTTGGATCAACCACGAAAGGATGCGCACACCTTCTCGTTTCTTTACCAGAGTCATGATTAGCTCACAGCTTATTCGTGAAAAACTAATTTGTTACTGAGTGACTAATGAGGCGACTAGTCGGAACGGATAGAGGTGGGCATCTGCCATTAATGCAAATTCAAAATCGTGACCAAACGACTGCGCACAGAGATAATCGCCTAGCGCAATGGTCTTATTCAAATATATATCGTTGAAGATGTGATCGAACGTACCATTAAGAATCTAAAAACTAGTAAAGGTAAAACCTTGTTTATATGGTCAAAGGCTTTGATGGAATCGAAGAAACAAAGGTGAGGCGGTTTCCTAATTACCAAACTTCGGTTACAATCACATGAACTTTAATGATCTGATTCCTTATGCCTCGCTTGCTCTAAATCCTGTGTGGCTGTCATGAATGCATATCATTTAGAGCATTCGTTTTAAAATGTTTGAGAGCGAAATTTTGGCGGCACGCGGTACAACCGAAATGGTTCTGTGTTTCGAACAGTTAGCTATATCCTATTTCGGTTGCAGGGTTGAATAAGGAATATTGGAGTCATCAGATTCGTGTTGCATTTACAACCTTCCTGAAATTGTTATGTCGTGACAGACTTTCAACAGTTCTACTGGAATGTCGTCAGGTCACAGGGTGTTACAGGTTTCCAATTCCTTGACGACACTAATTCAACGCTGACGGTTTCAGTTCTTCCAGGTGTGACAGAAGGAGAAAATTCTTCTGTGCTTCTATTCTCGCAGTACTGCTTCCAACGGGGGAATATTTGGAATTCGTTCTTGGCACATTGCCACTCATTTGTTTGATTATGTTGGAAAACTGAGCAAAATCCAGTGTCAAATTTTGCACGTTATCGCATAATCCTTAATTCGTATCACTGCCTTCTAAAGCATATTTATATTACTTCAGCCGGTTGATTAAAAAAAAATGCTTCTCATTGTACCCGGTTAAATGATAGATAATGCGATTAATTGTGAGATATTCACTATGTTGTTCTCACTTCCATTTCAGGTTCCTCCTTCTCGCTGCCGTGTCTCGACGCATAATTATACGAAATTAAAAGGTTGTTTTTAGACGAACAAATCTGAACGGCTGAAGATAACTTGCATAACACAAGCGCAAAAAATGTTGTGGGTGGGAACCGAAGATGGCCATTTGTTGGTGTTTAGAATCACCGAAGAGACTGACAGCGCAACGCCCACGTGCCGCGGAAACCACTCTTGCAGCTCTTTGCAGAACTTCCAATTACTGCAGGACCACCGGTTATTGCAAGGCCCGGTCGATTGTGACATACGAAATCCAGTGTTTGTTCATTTTGATTCCGGGTGCTCAGAAGGCAACACGACAGTATCTCAGGAAGGAACTTTGCCTGTCGAAATAGACGCCACAGGGAGGCTTTCTGAGTGGTTTTCTTCTCCGCCGGAAATTGTGTTAGAGAAGTGTGTGCCAGATTCGCTTACTCACAAGGAAGCATCAGTGATGGACATGCGCACTGACCTTCTTACGGATGACATGGAAAGCGGAGTAAGCAGCGGCTTGTGTAACTTGGATTACGACGACTACGTGCTTCTCTACGAAAGCCACAGAAGCATATTTTCATCAGGTATCTCACACAACCGCTGTGGAGACGTGCCGTGGCCGATTCGAGATGTCGAAGCTTTGACAACGACGCCGATTGGCCGCTCCCTAAGTTACGCAGGAGCCTTGACTGAACTACACGATGACCAGAGTTCTAATCAGCCGGCTGCGAGTTTCAACCAGGTTTCA